ACTATAATATGGCTATAAAGATTCAGGAACGGAACCATTCACTCTCTTGAGGTTTCTTCCAACATTAAAACCTCTGTATCTATGGTACTTGATATGATCAAAAGGAATTTCCCTTGGAATTATTCTTGAAGCCACATTCTACATATCAAATGGTCAGGAGAGCTCACCATAAGAAGTCATACCAGCTGCTCATGTGAATGACAGGTAAAACTGAACACTTTATTTTTTTTTAAGATTTTATTTATTTATTTGTCAGTCAGAGATCACAAGTAGGCAGAGAGGCAGGTAGAGAGAGAGAGGAGGAAGCAGGCTCCCTGCCAAGCAGAGAGCCCAACGCGGACTCGATCCCAGGACCCTGAGATCATGACCTGAGCCAAAGGCAGAGGCTTAACCCACTGAGCCATCAGGTGCTCCAAAACTGAACACTTTAAAACTTAAATGTAACGGGTGCCTGGGTAACTCAGTTGGTTGGACATCTGCCTTTGGTTTGGGTCATTGTCCCATGGTCCTGGGACTGGGTCCATCATTGACTCTCTGACCATTAGGAAGTCTGCTTCTCCCTCTTTCTTCCCCCTGCTTATGATCTCTCTCTCTCAAATCAATAAGTAAAATCTTACAAAAAAAATTTTAATGTAACAAGTGCCAATTTTGCTTAACTTTCCATAAGACATTTTGGCTTTGCTTCAAAGCAAATAACCTTAGAACAGAACATATTCAACTCCCCTATTTATTTGAATAAAATTTAGCACTTATTATTGAAAGGTGATAAAGATACACATCAGTGTATTGTGGTTGATTGGTGCTGGATGGGGGTGTGTAAAAGGACAGCATAGGAGTAATGAGCAGGTCTAGGAAGGAGGCAGGCAGGGTACGATAGAAGGTATCATGGAAAAAGTGATGAGTTCAGCGGAGGGAACAAAGCTGGGTGGGGTGGACCATGGTGAGAAGGAAGAACAGGGCCTTTCTGGCAGTGGGACAGCATACCCAAAACATGGGGCTGAGAACCAGTGTCCAGTGCTCTGAGACCGGCAGTCCTGTGGCAAAGTAAAGACCACTCTTTCCAAGGTATTCATTCATGCATTGAGGCTGATTTCAGAGGGAATAAGGGAGGTAAAAGTGAACTTTAATAACACTGTGGGAACTCCAGTATCTAAAAATCAATCACAAAAGACAACAAAGGGATCCAATACATATTGGAGTGATGGGATCCCAGAGAAGTAGCTATATCATAAAGGGAATAGAGACATCTTGCCCGGGACAGTGGGCTGATGAAAAGAGTAAGTAATAATAAGTAACATTTATTGAGTGATCGCTAAATGCCAGGCGTTCCATGCTTTGCACACATCAACTCACTTTGTGCATCAACTCTGTGATGTAGGTTCTATTATTATCCTGTTTCAGGAGGCTGTCTCCCTCCCTCACCTAGTCCCCTTTCCTGAACTTATCACTAATGCACAAGGTATTTTATTTATTTATTTATTTATTTATTTATTTATTTATTTATTTAGATTTTATTTATTCATTTGACAGAGAGAGACAGCGAGAGAGGGAACACAAGCAGGGGGAGTGGAAGAGGGAGAAGCAGGCTTCCCGCTGAGCAGGGAGCCCAATGTGGGGCTCGATCCCAGGACGTTGGGATCATGACCTGAGTTGAAGACAGATGCTTAACAACTGAGCCACCCAGGCGCCCCGGTATTTTATTTATTTAATATTATGTTGTACTTGTCTCTTGCTTTCTGATAGAACGAACTCGCTTTAAGGGCAGGGACTTTTGTCTGTTTTGTTGACTGCTATGTATATCCCAGAACTTAGAAAACATAGTAGGAGCTCAAGAAATCTTGCTGGAAAAGGAGAGAAACTGAGACACAGAAGGGTTAATAACTTGCCCCAACCAGTCCAGCAGTGGCAGGACCTGGGAGCAATGGTATGAACAGCTAAAGGGGGTTTTTAGTGAGGTTCACAAAGGAGCATAACAGGATTGAAGGTGGAGGGCTGGAGAATCAGCCCAGTAAGAATAGGCTTAAGAATGCATCAGTTCATTTATTTATTCAGTTAGTTTTTCAGCAAACATTTACTGACTCTCTACCATGTAGCAGGCATTGTTCCAGGCCACAGGAAGCAAGGGTGGACAAGGCCAAAAGGGTTCCCCACTCAGAGGAGGGGAGACAGACAACAGAAAAGGAAACGAGTGAATGAATATACGGCAACATTTCAGGGATGATAAAGTCTGGGATGATAATAGAACAAGTTGATGTGATGAAGAGTAGCTGGGGGAGGGGGCCTCCCACTATTAGATGGGGTCTTTGGACACAGCCTCTTTGAGCGGATGTATGAGCAGAACCCTGCAGCAGAAGCTCTGAGAGAAGATAATGCTTAGAACAAAGACGATGGGAGTGGGGGAAGCAGAAGTTGGGGCAGGGCTGGGGATGGGGTTTGGAGAATGGGATGGAGCCCAGAAAGTGTCCATGGAGATCACAGCTCTGCCCAGGAGGCTGAGCGTTCACAGCCAGGAGAAAGGCCTGTAGAGCAAAGTCTGCCTAGGATGAGAGCCAAGGGGTTAAACAATTGTCCTGAAAAACATATCTGGTCTTAAACCAGGAACCTAACCCAAAAAGGACCCTGATTTGGGGCAGAAGCAGAAGGTACTGTGTAGAATGACAGGAGTCTGGGCACGGTGGACGGACTCCATGTTACAAGTGAATTTGGTCAGCTCAAGCCTGCAAGGGATTGACACGGATGTGTAATGTGTCCCCTATGATCCATGCACACTCTGTATGTCTGCCCAGAGCTGAGGAACCACTGGAGGTGGGAGTGGCCTTGGGAAACATCTACTACACATGATATTTACTTGGCCCGTGGACCAGGCTGGTGATCCCCAACCTGAGCGAAACACAAGACTCATTTGGAATGTTCGTAAGGAAATTCAGATGACGGGGCCTCGTCCCCCATGATTCGTATTTACTGTGTTGAGAGCGGACCAAGTGTCTGCACCTGCGATGCAGATGGTCTCCAGACAGGGCCCACCTGGCAAAGTGTGCTAGAGAATCACTAACGGGCTTCAGGGAACCCCTGGAACCCCTGAAATGGAATGAAGTGTGTGTGCTTGAATACCTGTATATTTTTGGGCTGTGGGGAGAGGGTCCATAACCTCAAAATCTCAAGAACAGCTGATCTAGTCCTGCCCCGTGTTGTATAGAGTAGAAAACAGGGTCCCACGAATGTGGTGACTTGCCTGAGCCCCCAGACAGGAAAACAGCAGAGGTGGGCTGTCACTCCACACTTTTTGCCTGCCCCTCACTCTCTCCTTCACACCCTGCTGACCGTAGGGGTGAGGGGGAAGGGGGAAGGTGATTAAGCACATAGGAGCAAAGTCGTGACAGGGTTGCTCGCCCCATTTTGGCCCCAGATGGGAGAGATCAGCAGAAAGGAGGTTTGCAATGATGATGCCTTAACAAAGGGCCTAGGCACTCACCTGGATACCACCCCAGGCCCTGATATCGTGGACTCTTCGCTCCATGAGGACCTAAAGCCAGGACAGAAGGTACATGGTGGTAACGGAGTGACGTTTCTTGTAAAAATCTGTCTTCCTATACCTGAGCAGGCGGGTGGTTCCAGCCTTCCCCGCCTGTGCTTTCTTTTCTATCCACCTCTTTCCTCAGGCCAGTCTGGATGATGGCCCCACCTTTGTTAGTATGTTCCTCCCAGTCCCGATTCTGTGACTAACCCCAGCTCGTGAGCCTCCTCACATTTGGAATGTGTCCTGCCCTCCAGTTTTGGCCCAAATCCTTCAGCCTCTGGCCGCAGCCTGAGCTCCCAGATCCCCCTGCCTTGCTCACCTTCCTCTTCGGAACTAACACCCCCCCATCTTGGCCTTTCGCCTCTTCACTCCCTCTTCTGTCCTGGGGACAGGGCCCCTCTAGTCCTGGCCCCACCTGTCACCCCATCCTCCCCCAGTCCATCTGGCCTGCACAACCTGCTATTCAAGGGCTGAACTTCTTCGGAGTCTGACCCCTCCTTCTGCAAGGATGCAAGACAGCTGCGTAAGAAAGTCTGCGTAACACCCTTCCTCTGCCTTCATCTTGGAGCCTTCAACAGTGGGCTCAGGGGCTGGCTGGTGGACCACGGGGAGACCCTGAGTCCTGACCAACAACCGTGCATCTCCACTCTTCCCAGTTTCTCTCTGTCTCGCCCCCCACCTCCGCTCTGCTTGCCAAGTCCCTTTCTCTTCTGTTCCTTTCTCTTTTTCTTTCCTTTCCTTTTTTTTTTTTTAAATTTCTTTTTCTTTTTAACCTTTCCCGATGCTTTAGGCCTCCCTTGGCCCTTCCCAGGATCCCTTTGCCTGAGAGCAATCCTCAGGAATAAGAAGGTGCCCGAGCCCTTTGTGTGGACAAATACCACCTTTGTTTTGGTGCCAGATTTGTGTTAGAGGCAGCTCTCAGGGAAAGCTGGACAGTTGGAGCCGTCCTGCAGAGCACGCAGTAGGCAGAGGAAAGAAGATGGCTCAGGAATGTTCCCAACAGCCTCCTCAAATCTGTGGGGGCATGGCTGGCGGCCCCTCTTCTTTCACAGACAAGGAGACAAGCTCGGGGCTCAGGAGAGCCCCAGGTCTGGAATTAAGCCAGGGTAAAAGTGGAAGTGGACACGGAGCCGTCCAACTGGAAGCTGTCCAGAGAGCTGCGTGGGGCAGGATCCCAGCTCGCTGCCTCGCAAAGCCTCCACCGGCTCGGTCAGCTGCGGACGCTCGACAGTTACTGGAAAGTCGTATCAGACGCCCCTGTCAGTTCTTTGTCCTGTGAAGGAATAGCACAGTGAATGTCTTGGTGAAGATTAATCATTTTCTTCCTTGCCTATGACTGAGGCTGTTTCTCACATCCTACCCTGGTTTCGCTTGTCTCAAGGATTTCATCGGAAGGGCGGGACATTCCCCCTGCCTTCCCCCCCTCACCAACCCCAACGGGAGCCTGCGATCAGGACCAATGAAAGCAAAGTACCTCACCCACTCAGTGACTAAGAACTCAGAGTATTTAAGAGATTGAGGAATGGGCTGAGAACTGCTTCTGCTTTCTCTCCAGACAGGCACACTCTCCTCTGACTCAGGCCCTCGCTGAGCTGCAGAGGGAAGGGGGAAAGCCCCAGACTCTCTGCCACCATGTGCTACGGCAGATGTGCACGATGCATTGGACATTCCCTGGTGTGGCTGGCCATCCTCTGCATTGTGGCTAATATCGTGCTTTACTTTCCCAATGGGGAAACAAAATATGCCTCTGAAAACCATCTCAGCCGCTTCGTGTGGTTCTTTTCTGGCATCGTGGGAGGGGGCTTGCTGGTAAGTTGTTCAGAATTATTAGAAGCTTAAACTATTCTCTTCTGCTAATGAGGGGTTCTCATGGAAATATTTCTACAGTGCCTCCTTCCAAATCCAGTTATTTCTGTTTGTCCTTCTTTGGAAAGCAGATCACACAAAAGTTGCGATAGGTCTGGTGTATTAATTTTGTTAGACGGTTTACAAAATCCTCTTTCAACTAACAGTGGACTACCTTTTTGCTATCCTCTCTTACTTTACAGTTAGAAAACAGATATTAGCTTTTAAATCAGATCTGAGACACTCTAGAGTTTCTAGTACTGGACGGGGTGGGCATTTAACATTTACTCGGGGAGGGGGGAGGACGCCGCTGGTTCTCTGTCCAAATCAACAGTTTTGGATCCAAATTCTCTGCTGTTTATTCTCAGGCATCTATGGCAGAAAAAAAAATCATGAGTTATGAGTGCATTGCTATTCAGAAAGAACTATAAATTTTCTCCTTTATGTAATCCTGGGTGTGGTGTCTAGGAAAAATCCTACAGTTAGCAGCAGATCAGGGTCTGAAGCTCACAGTGGAATGTGTTGTTTTTTCCAAGGTTTGTTTTTAATTGAAGTGAGAGGAATTTGCCTGCCAACCTGGGAGCTGAAAGTATTAACTTCAACCACAGCATGGAAAGAATGTGGACGAACTCAAGTTTGCCACTTTAAATGCTGGGATTGAGAGTTCTAGAAAGACATTTTATGGAATCGCTGGTACCACACAGAATATTTTTCTTAGCCAGGAAAAGACATTATAACATTTAAATTGAATACATTATTATGAAGCTTTATTATCATGTTCACATAATCATTTGTCCTTCATGTAACATCGCACCTGTTTAAGCTTCTTTTGATCTCAGAGTACTTCATACTTTATTTAAAGAGCTTTATTGTGAAGCCACAATCGTAAAATAGTATCATCAAAGAAGCAGTTCATACTTACTATATGGTGTCTTCATCTCTCCCATTTATGAAAAATTTCAGTTATTCTATGAAAGACTGTTAGTATCATCTAAGTTTTGCAAGAGGGAAAAATAATCAGATTTGAAGACAGAGTTCAAGAGTTTCATCCAGAGCTGAGGGACAGTGCTAGGAACTCTTGTAGAAGAAACTCTTTCATAGGTTGCTATTTGAGTCATCCCGTCCTGCACGCTCACCCTAAAGACACATTACAGGCAAACAAGCAGGCACTCCACTTAGAGGGCTTTTGTGCTCCTTCTGATTTTACATTCTTTGAGAGCCTTGGGCAAGGGAACCCAAAGCCATCCACTACTGTCAGAAAGAAATATACTCTAGCAAAAGATGCTTAGCTGCACCCTTATGACAGGCTTCGATTTGGGGGGAAGGCGGTGAACTTTGTTTCCCTGTTTTGCAACCAGATGTTCCTGCCGGCATTTGTGTTCATCGGGCTGGAAGAGGACGACTGCTGCGGCGGCTGTGGCCACGAAAACTGCGGCAAGAGATGCGCGGTAGGTGTTCCAGCTCCCAGGGTGGAAACAGTCCTTGGGAGGTGGCCGGGGTCTCGCAGGCTCACTTCCTCCCTTTCTGCTCTCGCCAGATGTTTTCTTCTGTCCTGGCTGCTCTGATCGGAGTCGCGGGATCTGGCTACTGTGTCATCGTGGCAGCCCTGGGCTTGGCGGAAGGACCACAATGTCTTAATTCTTCGGGCCAGTGGAACTACACCTTTGCCAACACCGATGGACAGTGAGTAATGGTTTCCCGTCGGGCCACGCGTTCTCACCGCCGCCTGGTACAGGGGCAAACCCAGCAGGTTAGACGGGCAGTGGTCAGCCGAGCGTCTGTCCGCTCAGCCAGGTGTCTTCGCACTGGCTCAGGCACCAGGTGGTGTCAGAGCGTGGATCCCCGACCCGGAGAAGCTCTCCGTGCTTTTTAATGGATTCCCTGATTCAGCCCTCATCATAAAGTTAGGGATAAATTTAATAGGGATGTGTTGACTTCCACTATTGCTTCCATTTTACAGATGAGGAAAAGGAGGCAGAGAGAGTTGCAGGAACTTATTCAAAGTCACATTGCTGGGAAGGACATGGACAGTCAGGATTTGAACCCAGGCAGCCTGGCTATAGAGTTTGTGCTCATACAGTGGGTCCACTATACCAGAATGATTAGCTGATTTTACTGTTTTATAAGAAAATATTTTGGAATCGTTACATAATATGGATGGAAAGCATATGAATTTAACCCAAGTCCAGGGTAGATCATAGAACTCCCATACACACACTCACGTATAACAGAATAACTACATACAACAAACTCTTTATTTAAAGTGATCAGCCCGTAGGAGACAGGTCTGATACACGACTTTAACATCAGGATAATTTAAGGTCTTTTATTTTATGTTGATGCTTCTTTCTTATCCATTATTGAGGAGAGATCAGAAATAGCTGATAGAAACTGATGTACATGATGACGAATGAATGACATCCTTCTTTGAGTTTTGAAAAGCTTAGTTATGAGATTCATGAGTGAAAATAATATGAATAATGAATTTTGATTGCCTTTATATCATCAAGACTGTTTATCTCCCACGAATTGTGTAGCATATAGGGAGTTCATAAATCATGAATATGGAATTCCATGGACCTGGATTCCGTCCCAGCTCTGCATTTCTCCCTCAGCAACCAGGATAAAGTGGACTGAGCTCTGTTTTTCAGTTACTTCATTTGTCAAATAAAACCAGGGGCAGTTGTCTGAAGGATTAATGAGATAATAAACATAAAGTATTTGTCACAGAAACTGACACAGTCTGACCATGGCCTTTGTTAGCTGTTAATACTATCTCCTAACTTAAAATGAATACAGCCAAGGTAGCCTCGGAAGGAAAACTAGCACTTAGAGGGGTTTGAAATTTCGGTGGTCAAAATGGTTATTGATCATGATTCAACTTTGTTCAGAACCTACTGAATGTACTAGTAGAGACTGGTTATTCACATATGCACAGGCATACAAACTACTGTACAAACCCACCTGTAAAAGTGATCATGATGAATGTCGCTGGAATGCGAGGAGAAGGGCAAGTATCACTAAACATTTTTACAGCTGTTTGAGCATATGCCCCTCCCCTGATCCACCCCAGCTTCTGTAAAAAAAACCTCCTGCTTCTATATCATTCCTCACTTCAACCTGTCCAAGGAGATCAGTATGGGAAATAACTAATGGTCACAAGCCGGTGTTTAATTGTTCAATTGGCAAGTGGGGCTCAAGAAATTTTTTTACGTTGTGTCCTAAAATGGCAAATTCTTTTCTCCACTGATAGGCGGAAAGACAGGGTCATAAGGACAGAATTCTTTTTTTAAATCAGCAAATTGAATTTCTGATTGGCTCAATGAGCCTTTCAAAGTTAGGTCTCTAATTCCAAGTCCCTTTGTTCTGCTGTTTTAGAAAAACTGGTAAGAAAAGAGTTTTATACCAGACCTCTTTGTGGAATTAAGTCAATTGCAGATTTTCCCACATGATTGAATCCTATTTCATTAAGGATCCACATGCTTTATGATGTAGCAAAGGCTGAGATTCTAAGAGAATAATCAGAGATTGAAGTTTTTCAGACTGCAAGAATATTCAGGTATTTAGAAAATCTCCTAAGTCACGTATATATGTATATGACTTATGTGTGTGTGTATAGTCAGTCATACGTGATTTCAGCATGGTTTGCTAGTAATTCTCAAAGTGACTGCAGATTATTTATCATTAAATTACTTTTTTTTTTTTAGGATTTTATTTATTTATTTGACAGACAGAGATCACAAGTAGGTAGAGAGGCAGGCAGAGAGAGAGAGGGGGAAGCAGTCTCCCTGCTGAGCAAAGAGCCAGATGCAGGGCTCCATCCCAGGACCCTGAGACCATGACCTGAGCAATAGGCAGAGCCTTAACCCACTGAGCCACCCAGGTGCCCCTCAATTACTTTTAAAAGTGTTGAGTACCTACTATGTGCCAGATACTGGTCTAGGGGTTATATATACAATGATGAAAGTTCTGCTTCCTATTTTCATGGAGCTCAGACCTATGGAATAGTTATATAAGCAGGTACTCTCCTGGGTTAGGTTATGTGCCCTTCCTCAAACTTGGTTTACCTGATCAGTATACCTGTCACAAAGCGATTGCATCTTGTTTCCACTCTTAGAGTCTCTGCATTTCCAAGGCAAAGCCCATGCCATGTTCATCATTATACCCCCAGCCCGGGCTTAGTGTCTAACTCACAGTGAATGCTCAGTAATATTTGCTGAATTTTGTGTTTCTCATTGCAACGTGACCTGGGCTAAATTCCTCACTTTGTGAAATGACTTGGACTAGAAAAATTTGATACAGGTCAATGAATTAATTCATTTCTTTTTTCTCTGAGCGAAAAAGCACCACACAGAAAGTAGCTTATGAGACATCCCATTAGGTGTGGTCATGGGACAGAAGTTTCTTTTTTTTATCCGCAGGTACCTTCTGGATACCTCCACATGGTCCCAGTGCATTGAACCCAGACATGTTGTTGAATGGAATGTCTCTCTGTTTTCTATCCTTTTGGCCCTCGGTGGAATTGAATTCATCTTGTGTCTCATTCAAGTAATAAACGGAGTGATGGGAGGAATATGTGGTTATTGCTGCTCTCGCCAACAGGTAAGAAACTGTGTGAAAATGTCACAGCCTGGTCCTGGGGTATTCAATGACTATCATATGCCATTGTTTTCATCAGAAAGAAAAAAAGGCAAAATTAAAAGCTGCTCAACTTACCAGCATTTGTCCTTATACCATCTTTGTGGCAAAAGCATTTACAGCATATGGTTTTTCTCTGGGTAATAAGCTTCCTTGAGTGTCATAGTCCCTGGGTTATCTTGTTTTTTTGTAGTTGGCTAAGTGTATATAAGAAAAATGCTGTCCATAAACAAAGTGTTCCTTCAAGAGCAAACTCACCACCCCTTTCACGGGCTCCAGGAAAAGAGACACAACTGAGTTTGCTCTCATGTTCCCAACTAGCGTACACAAATAGTAGTCAACGTCCTTGCACTAGGTGCTCAGCTACACTCACATTTCAGATGCCACTATGAGTCAGGGATTAAGCAATATGTCTACCATCCTTTAGTCAGGAAGGAGCAGGCTTCGGACCCTGCGTCATCTTATGCCACAACCCCTGCTCTCAGCCTGTACGCAATACTTGCTGTTCTGTTGCATCTCTTACAATTCCTTCCTAAAAAGGCATCACAAAAATGCCGCGACAGTTAAGCACAGAGAATCACTAGTAACCTTTGAATAGCAGCTTGTCAAAAGCCTTTCACGGTGAAAGAAAACCAGGAAGCACTTGTTTCCTGAGGAAATGATTTCAGAGAGAAGTATGCATTTGTTAGTAGCAGGGAAAGTTCTTGTTTCTATATCTTCCTAAAAAAGAAACCTCATGTATTAATGAATTGATGGAAGTCCAGCTTGTTTGTTTTATGCATTATTCTGTAAAACGGAATTAGGTGAACAGAAACTTAATTTCTATTTTCCTAATCACTTAGAGAAAGGTCTCTTTCTCTTAAAATAAGACAAAACCTAATGAAAACTGAAAGCCCACTGCTACCATGAAAAACCTTGCTGTAAATAAGTGGAAACTTTCTAAAATTTTTGAGGGGAAGTTAAAATAAAAATCTAGTTTTCCTTATCAGGCGAGTACAGCAAGATTAAAAATTTCCTTTGGGAGCTTGCCATATTTCCAAGAAAACAACACAGTGGGAAACTTTCAGTGTGAGTTGTTTCCAGGCAGTATGGTTGAGGAGAGGCAGAGAAGAATCCTCTCAGAATTACTTTAATGTAACCTATCTTTAACCTTGAATTTCATACAAGGCAGAGTTTAAATTAGATGAGGCCCCGCTGGACATCAGCCCTTGTGCATTTTTGGAAAGAGGCATAATATGTCAGTGACCACAGCTGCTGTCAGTGGTTTGTCAGAGTGACCCTCCTCTCTGAGCTGGGGGGTGGGGTGGGCAGAGTGGGGGGTAGGGGGAGTCGGGGGGTGAGCAAATAGTCCTACTGGGTTTCCCATCCGAAATTCACAGTAGGGATGTCTTCTTCCCAGAAATGCCAGTGCAGATCTGCTACCTTTATTCCTCAGACAAAAGACACTTTCAAAGGGCAAGGTGTTTTAGTGTAGATGAGTCAAGTCTGTAACTTGGTAGCATTGAATCGGGAAAGTTACCTCCATTGAGCCCACTCTTGGGTGAAACTCCTGTGGCATTATCTCTAAAAATCCCTAAGATTAAAAACCTACCCCAAACACATTCAGAGCCAACTCAACACTGGTAAGCTGCGTTTTCATAGCCCTTTCCTGCAGCTTTTCCTCAGAGAGGACAATGGGTGTCCTTTGTTTAGGAAACATTTCATGAGCATTGTCTAGGCTCTCAGCTGAAGTTGACATCAGCCTGCTTTATGTCTGCTTCAAACAGGAAATTTTAGGACGAAAATGGCATCGTCGTCTGTTCAGCCTGCTGGTGACCTAATGCCTATCTCATTTTCTTTACAGCGATATGACTGCTAAAAGAACCACCTCAAGACAGAACCACAACCTTCCTCTATTTCATTGTAATTTATATATTCTACTTGTATTAATTTGTAAAACTTTGTACCACTGTATCATACTTTACATATTCTACTTTTATAAATGTGTATAAAGACTGGCATCTTCATGTGATGTCAAGCGTAGCAAACAAAACTTTTTTTTAGGACTGTGAAAACAAATGAGGTCATTTATTGACTGAATGACGGTCGGTCCTCAGCATAGCTGAGATGAACTCTGGCCTGAGTAATGTTTTTGAAAAGCATTATAAGGATAAATATAATTTTCCCATTTCTATTGTATGTGCATTGGTTTATTAAATGGAAGATGTCTAGTTACTGGTTTTTTTTTTTAAGACCATGAAGGAGAAAATCCAACAACTTGAAAAGATGTGGGTTTTTTTTTTCACTGTTTATATGGTGTTTCCCATTCATATGCCTGCCAATCTCTGACAAGAGGCCTTTATGAACTGTTCTGAGTTTTGCGAGATACAGATATTTGCCCAAAGCAGGACAGCTGGTTGAGAATGCCCGGGCTAAAGGAAAGAGTCAACACCAGCAATGTTGTCAGGAGTCCTGCCAGATCTTACCTTTCTCTAACACGTGGAAAACTTTTTGTCCTTCAAAGACAAGTGCCAAGGATCATGTCTTGAAAAAGAAAAAAGGCCTGGATACTTGGACAAGAAAAAATGGGAAACGGAATAAAACAGTTAATCAACATCATGGGAAAATGGGGGAGGAGGAGGAAGGGCAGGAGGACCGTGAGGAAATAACCCCAAAACTTGATGATTGAAATCCAACAAAATAAAGTATCCACTACCATGTTTAATTTCATTGTCCTTTATTTAAAGTTCCTCCATTTTTCTCCCTATTTTTCCTCCCCAGCCCCTGTTGCTGGGGGCTTTGTGGCTTCTGGGTGTTTTATCCCACTCTCTGCCTCATCCTCGCCCTCCTCATCTACCTTTCTCTACCATCCACTCATTGTTGTTGCTCTGCATCACTTGGGGTTGAGGTCATTACACCGCATATGTAACTCTCCTTTCTACTGGATGCTCCAGGCGTCAGGCCCTTTTGGAGGGTCACAGACATTTTCTCCCTTGCTAGTTTATTTCAATTGTACAGTTACCTTGACAGTCCATCACCCTAACATCTATAGAGGGGGAGACAGAGATCACATGTGTTCCAGCAGTGGCCTAATGAGTGGGTCTTAGAACAACTGTGCTTTTGAAGCAGGATTCCCATTGAAATGATATTTTGAGAAACCTGCAACAATTTGAATGTGATACAAAAATAATATGTAATTTTGTCTCATTCATCAAACCATGATCACTACTGTGAGCTATTGCATATAGTCAGATCAGAGGAAATAGTACATTTTCATTACAGGTTTAAAAATACTGACATTTTTTTCTCACTGGAGTTTAACACCCTTCTACCAGATATCTATACATGGGCCTCTTGGGAATTCTTGGGCACCAAATTAGAACTCCTGAAATAGAAAATCCAAAGAAGAGGTATAATGATCAGTACTAATGATTGCCCCACCCCCAAATCTATCCTCAAAGGCAACAGCAATAATAATGATTAATCACGGGGCGCCTGGGTGGCTCAGTGGGTTAAGCCTCTGCCTTCAGCTCAGGTGCTGATCTCAGGGTCCTGGGATCAAGCCCCGAATCGGGCTCTCTGCTCAGCAGGGATTCTGCTTCCCCCTCTCTCTGCCTGCTGCTCTGCCTATTTATGATCTCTCTCTCTCTCTGTGTCAAATAAATAAAATCTTAAAAAAAATTATGATTAATCCTGATAGTATTAACAGCAACCATTTGTTGGGGTTCTTCTGATGTATCAATTATTGTAGTTAGTTTTTTTTTTTTTTAAGATTTTATTTATTTGTTTGAGATAGAATGAGAGAGAGAGAGAGCACACAAGCAGGGGAAGCAGCAGGCAGAATGAGAAACAGACTCCCTGCCAAGCTGGAGCCTGATATGGGGCTCTATCCCAGGACTCCGGGATCATGACCTGAGCTGAAGGCAGATGCTTAACCAACTGAGCGTCTCAGGAATCCCTGTTGTTAGGGTCTACACATTTATTTCACTGTAATCTCTCAGCATGCCCTAGGAAGTGGTGTTTATCTCCACCGTACAGAGTTAAAGCTCAGAGAGGTTGGGTAATATGCCCTAGGCCTATCTTTAACAAATGTAAAAACTATGGTATGAATCCAGGTCCGTCTAACATGAAAACCCACGTTTTTCTGGCTCCTCTCCTTGGCCCCCTGTACCTCTTTGGCTATCCCTGTCTGCCCAGGTGCTCGAGTCTTGTCTCCTCTAACCGACTCAGTCTATCCACCCACCTGAGGGGGCCTTGGACAGGTCCCTGGGACCCTCGGTCATCCCATCCCACTGCTGAAATTTGAGTGACTCAAAGTTTCCACCAGTTTGTAAATTCTCTAGTAGCAGTCATTGGCATTGTCCAGGGGAAACGGCCGAAACAAATTACCTTCTATCCTAGCTTACTTATATTTATAGCCCACACTCTGGGTCTATAATATTCCAAACCCTTAATTTGACTGGAAATTCCCTCAGAGATTGTCCAGAAACAGCTTATTATCACCTGGCAACATAAAAACAGTAAGATCCCTGTAGACTCTGAGTCACCTGAGTAGCACACATGGCCTGAAGGTTAGCTAGTTCCCTCTGAGTATCCATTCACCATAGTTACCAAATTTATAAATAACTACCTAAATACATGGAATCTCTCTGATTAAAGTCTGAGGAAATTGATAGAGTGTTACCTTCACTACAATTTGTTTCTTGTAGGTATGTGAGATCTTTCTATGTTTCCTCTGACACTTATCTATAGTGGGAACAGGTATGCAATTTGCTACAACTTTTCAGAAAAGCAACTCTCTATAAGGTTTGCATATCTTTTTTAGCCCTGTGTGTGTGTGTGTGTGTGTGTGTGTTTAAAACTTTGCAAAGTGCCAAAGACAGCAGAGAACTTTCGTGCTCTGAGCACTGGGGAGAAAGGATTGGGTTATAAAGTTTCCTGATTTCACAGGATTATTCCAGGATTTCTGTGCCAGGGTGATGACCTCATACGCCATCACGGAGCTGGGGGCAGGTTTATCTACGGCAACAAAGTTGATGTTGAGGATTTCATCCTGAAGCGCACAGGTCTGGGCATCTTGTCCGTGGCGAATGCTGGACCCAACCCAAACAGTTCCCAGTTTCTCATCTGCGCAGCCAAGACAGAGTGGTTGGCTGGTTGGCGTGTAGTCTTTGGCAAAGTGAGAAAGGGCGTGAATATTGTGGAAGCATAGGTGGGTTTGGGTCCAGGAATGGCAAAACCAGCAAGAGGATCACCACTTCTGACTGTCGGCAAATCTAATACATTTGACTTGTATGCTTTCTTTTTTTTTTTTTTTTAAGATTTTATTTATTTATTAGTTAGAGAGAGACAGAGAGAGAGAGCATGAGCACAGGCAGACACAGTGGTAGGCAGAGACAGAGGGAGAAGCAGACTCCCCGCTGAGCAAGGAGCCCAATGTGGGACTCGATCCCAGGACGCTGGGATCATGACCTGAGCCGAAGGCAGCCGCTTAACCAACTGAGCCACCCAGGCGTCCCGACTTGTGTGCTTTCTTAACTAACAGACTATTCCTCCTGTAGCTCAGGAGAGTACCTCTTCACACCAGTTGCTCAAAATAGCCTATAATCTTTGAGCTCTCACTGCAGGTCTATGGTTCTGTATTTTCCTTTTTCCCCTCCAATAGCTAGATTGTAGAGTTAAGTTCATGATTATAAAGTAAGAACTAAACAAACAAACAAACCAAGGATGTTCAGTTTCCAGGAATAATTTTGGGAGTGGTGTTTATATCCAGAAAAATAACAAGGGCTTCAAAGTCCGACGAGGAACTGTTTTGATAAAATGTCAGCACAATAAAATGTTATTTATATTTATAATACACAAGCGCTAAGAAATAATATTGGTCAGATTCTGGGTGATTTTTGTCTGGATTCATTTCGCCTACCTCTGCCTATTAAAGTTTCTGTAGTGAACACATATTACTTTTGAGAAAAGAAAGTTTCATTCCTAAAATCATTCAGGGAGTAGTCCATAGTCTTTGAAGGAAAATCCCCAAGCGTAGGAGAAAACCATTGTTCCTGTGGGTGGACAGAGGAGTCATTCTGCAGTGAACACAGGAGAATAATTGCACAGGCAATTAGCCAAAGGGATGGGCCAGGTGAGGCAGGCAGGAACCACAGGCTACAAATATGGTAGGGAGTCCATAATTTTCCGTCTGTGCTTGGGAAATCCAAGTCCATGGTGTCTACTTGGTCTAGCTACCAAATAAGATTTTTATAAATATCAACTATATATCTGTTTTTCCATTCTTAAAAATGAAAGTGATGAAATGCTTTTATTTTGAGCATCGATCTTTTATCAGGGTTTTTGTAGGCACACCTCGAATTTTCCTCATTTTACTTTTCTGAGATGAGAGGGAGGGTTAACAACAGGTTTATAATATATGGTCTGGCATGGTTTGTGGAAATGATTCAACGCATCCTACATAGAGAAATTGTCACCCACCCCAGGCTAGTACAAATGGTTCTTCCTCTCAACACAAAATATTTTGTGTGTCTGTTCATCTTTGTCAATGTAGACACTTTTTAAAATTATTGCAGCTCAAGAAACCTGTTTATGACCTTTCTGAAGCTGGATATTTTTTTTTAAAGATTTTATTTATTTATTTGAGAGAGAGGCAGTGAGAGAGAGCATGAGCGAGGAGAAGGTCAGAGGGAGAAACGGACTCCCCATGGAGCTGGGAGCCCGATGCGGGACTCGATCCCCGGACTCCGGGATCATGACCTGAGCCGAAGGCAGTCGTCCAACCAACTGAGTCACCCAGGCGTCCCTGAAGCTGGATATTTTTTGTTAATTCCTGGAACTGATTAAACAATCAATTCTCTCCCTTTCATGCATGCACGCACCGCCCCCCACACGCACACATACACCACATATAATCACATTTTCCTACCCTACAGCAGTTAAAAAGAACAAACTATGGATACATGAGAAAACATGGGTGAATCTTACAAATAAAGGGAATGAAGGCCATTAACACTGTTCCCTCTCCCAATTTTGATGACACAATTCTGTATGTACTCTCAACTCATGTAGCTTGGTCCTTAAATACAGAGGGCTGGTGAGTTCCCTTATGCAACATTTCACACACTGGTTTTTATAGGAGCAACACTATCATTCCCACATAGGGGCTGTTTCAAGATGTCTATGTCTACAAGTTGCATCCTGTGAGTGCAAGACTCTGTGTCAAATGTTTCATTTGCTAATTCTCACCATGCCCATCTCTGTTCCATGTATATAAATATTATTAACTTATACACAGGACTCAAGGCCAATTGCAATGGCCGCTGGCATCTCACATGTAGACTGTACCTATAGGTTTGAAAACAAAACCAAGGGAGCCAGCTTAGCATCTCATGGGATACCTAACTCCATATTGTTTAAGGCAACCCCTTGGTAAAGGAAATTCTAGAACTACACAGCTCTCCTGGTAATCTTTGACAACGTTAAATTTTTAAACTTTTAAGCCTTTTCTTTCTAATTACTTTTTTACGGGGCACCTGGGAGACTCAATTGGTTAAGTGTCTGCCTTTGGCTCAGGTCACGATCCCAGAGTCCTTGGATTAAGCCCCGCGTGAGGCTCCCTGCTCAGTGGGGAGTCTGCGTCTCCCTCTCCTTCTGCCTCTGCCCCTTTCCCCATAATTGTACCTGTGTCTTTTTCTCTATCTCTCTCTCAAAGAAGTAAAA